TTATTTTTTAATTTTTATTAAAATTAAATTTAAAATTAAATATTGTTTTATAAAATTTTTTCCCCTTTCACTGCTTTTTTTATTATGTGAGCACTTTACTAACTGCACCACATTGGAGACTCTGGAGCATATTTGTCACGAGAAACAGCAAAAAATATTTTCACACATGCATGGATAGCAACGATACTAAATATGTACAAAATTTAGAAGAAGCAGGCTTCTCTTTCTAAAAAGAAAAAATCATTAAAGGATGTTGCTTAGTGAACAAAAATAATTTCAAAAATTTACAAAAAATTTCAAAAAATTTACAGTTTCACTTTTGCCAGAAAAGAATTTAAGGATAGAAATGATAAAATGTGGTGGTGGTGGGGGTCAGTGAAACCTTTCATTTAAAACAATGAGACACTGGACTTCAAATAAAGCACATCTTTAAGGGATGTGTATATCCTACTGCTAGGTTTGGCTAAATCTTTTTGTATATCACATTCTGATTTAATGGTAGGGAAATCTGACTCTTAGGATTGATGCACAGATTTCTTAAATCATTAAGGGCACATTAAAAAGGATCATCAAAAAGTGGAACCGAATCTGTAATGCGCTTTATGATTGTGGAAGATATCCAGGACTGCTTAAAGTACTCAGCTAAATCATTTCTTAAGGGCATAATACGTACTTTAATTGGAACAAAATATTTCAGAAACCAATTCAAGACCATGGGTTTTAACTTCTTGGCAGATTATAGCTGACTTGTTTTAAATGAAGATATTGTTGTTCAATCCCAGTGATTAGAGATGCATCAATCATAGGGAGCAGCCTTTGCATACTGAGTACAGAATAAAGAAAAGTAGCAAGGAGAGAAAATCACCCCCTGCCTTAAGTCAGGGCTGTGTCTAGAATAGCTGAGGCTGGGGCATAGGAGGTTTTAACAATCCAATTCTGCTTTCCCTTTCCTGTCTGGGCACTGTGGCATTTGATTTCTTAAGGCTAATATCACCTGCTATCTGCATGGATCGGTAACCGTGTCCCCCTTGGTTAAGGTTGCCAGGATGTCAGGAGATCACGCAGAGCCAGGGAAGTAATCAGAAGCACAATGTGCAGCTTCTGTTTTGGAAAAGTGTACGTTTCAAGCTCATGTAAAGTGTTCTCTGCGTCTTTCCCTTTTTCTCTTGAATGGAGAAGCGCAGCTGGCCTGTTGCCATTCCTGCTTTTAAGGGGGAGTATCATCAAAGGTCTGGCTATAAAATGCTTAATGGCAATAAAGACTGTAGCTCGGCTCCACCGATAGATGATGTTAGCTGCTTGGAAAGCGACCAATCTCTGAAATGAGATGAGAGGTGTGATCGAAAATAAGGAAGCAGAAATTAAACCGGGGAGCTGTTTTTCAAGGCAATATTTATATAATACACTCAACGAAGACAGAGTGCATTAAAATGATAGGGAATTAGCAAACATTGCCAAAAACTAAAACTAATGAGTATTTTCCCTAAGAGAAGCTCAATCTAATCAATTAAGAAAGATGAACAAAAGTATAGTATGCTGTTTTGCCGCTAAAGGATGCCATGCTATTCTGATAGTGCATACACTATTAATTGATTTTAAAGATTATATTAGAAATAAAAAGCATGACCTCGTCAACCTTTGAACTGTTCATGAAATATAGATATACATTATACATTTCTGAAATGTGGGAGCCAAAAGTTGATATTGATATAATTTTAAGTAGTATTCTTATGAGACTATATCACATTCATAAAATAAAAAATATTTCGTTCTGAGATGAAGTGAACTCAGCCTTTTCATTGATAAACCCGCATGTTGAGGAGCAGTGTTCCCAGTGTGATAGGATTTCAATTTTCACTTTTTAATCATAAATTTACTTAATGATAAGCCACGATTAGGAAGAATAAATCCCCCCCTACCCATGTCGCTAAATTAGACAGAAATCTCACGTGTATCTGTTAAGCCAGTCAGCACATCTTTCTTTCAGTAAAATGTATATTTTGTTCTTCCCTAGAGCTGTGTCTTCTTGAAGTGTACACTGAATATAAAATCTTAGTTACACTTAGATGGATTTTTATAAAAAGAAAAACTTCTCGTGGTGTTTGGGAGGCTAGATGTGCAGAGAGTGAGTCCAGACACCTACTTCTCCCTGGACACGCGGTGCAGCGTCATGTGACCCTTCGCACACACAAAGGTGCAAATCCACGTACTCACCGGGGGGCCTAGAGCACAGCCTTTGGCCGTGCAAGCCTGGAGTCTGAAGGAGTGCAGGCTCCCAGGAGCAAGCCCATAGGCATAGCAGCTGAGCTCCGAGGAATTGTGAATTAATACGCCATCTAGATATAATCCATAACTTGTGATAACACCTGCAAAGGCAATAATTGGCTTTTAGTGTGATCACCAGACAACAGCAAGGAGTGTCTTACTAAAGCAAGCACTTCTCACCGTTGATATCTAGTTCTGTGGAATCACAGCCTCACAGTATTTTGTACTTCCCCTCCTCTAAGCCTTGTCTCTCTCCAAAGGATAAAGCAGGCTTTGCCCTTGAACATCAAATTGTTAAGCTAATTAGCCCAGAGGCAGAAATAGAACCCAATATTTTTAGGAGGAGAATCTTCCTGCTGCAGCATGCTCACTGCTGCCATTTATGTTCTGGGTCGAAGATGAATAAAAAGAGTACATTTGTAATTTTTATTGCTTTCTAAAAAAAAAAATACTCTTCATAGATGTAAAGTAAAATGACCCTATTTGTTATTGCAACATATATTACTCAGGATGTACTCTGTGCTAACCACCTCACATACACTGAATTCTTCCAAACCCTCTCTAAACAGATTCCTCTCAGAGATGCGCTACTATTTTCATCCTATTATACATGAGGAAAGAGACGTGGAGCTTAGGGAACTTGATAGAGGTCACACAGTATCCATGGATTTGAGTCAGGATTTGCATCCAGGCAGTTTGACTCCGGTCTTGTGTTCTCAACAGTGACATTAAATCACTGAGACGTTCAACTCTGCGCCCATCATACAAATCGCATTCACGAGTGAGTCAGTGAATCTGACTTGATGGACTTAGTGATCAACTGAGGCTTATTTCAGAAGGAAAGGCATGTGGATTTTCATGAAATCAACTAGTAAAAATTCCATACAATCATTTTATTTATGCAACAAAGTTATTTTTATGAATGGGAAGCAAAGTGTCAGCATGACCAATGGTCTACATTCTCCAGAAATACAGAATCTACACATGGTCTAGATGTTACCCTGCAGGAAACAACCAAATCCACACTAAATGAGAACTGCTTCCAAAGGATGATCGATTTCACTGTGGCTCCCTGAGTATGTTCTGGAGGAATTTTCTTAATGTTTCCCCTGTCACACAGTCCACCTGGGAAAGAAGTTGGGTACATGTCTCCCAAGGACACCATACACCTCCATCACAGCCTTCACCCATTCATCACATTTGGAGTGTTCTCTTTCCTTGCTTAATTACTTGAGCTCCCCAATAGACTGTGGGGACCCCAAGACAGTTACGGGCTTTCTCACCCGCATATTTCCAAAGCTTAGCAACATGCCAAAACAGCAGGCACCTAGTAAATGCTGGCTGAATGAGTAAAGTAGTGAACACACAGCACAGCAAAAATAGCAGTATCCAATGTAGAGCTGTAACTTAGGACTACTGGGAAAAGGTTACATGAGAAGATAGCTTTAGAAGACACTATTGAAGATTAGCTTATGAGATTTTTAAAGTAAGACTCTAGCCAAGTCACGGTTATTGAGGGAGTTCCCTAATAGCTTGAGAGACCTGATTTTCAGTGCTGTGGACATAAAGATTGGGCCTTGTAAATATCTGGAGGGTAGAGCTAATGTTCAGGGATAAAGTTATTATGGAGCCAGGGTTCCAGGAGCCCTGTTTCTGAGTATTCCTGTCTCCTTCCAGGGACATGCTCACCTGTAGACTTGCTCAGAGAGACGTTGTCTGGGAACTGACAGAATAGTGCACGTATTGTCTGGAAATCCCTCACCACATTGCTTCAAATTGAGAAGTCCATTCAGAGATAAGGAGGCAGGCCAGTGAGCTGACACCCATGGGAACTCTGCCTCTTCTTATACTTGACCTCAGCAACCCACGGTCTAGCAGGTCACTGCAGGAGCAGATTGCAGACTTCTGCACGGGACAAGCTTGCTGACAGCACTGTGATGCAGCATAGGCTTTGAACTAGTGACTTTTCTCTCCAGTACTAGAGACTGAACCCAGAGCCTCTGCACTGAGCTACATCCCAGTGCTTTTTATTTTTTGAGTCAGGATGTTGCTAATTCACTAAACTGCCGAGACTGGACTCAATCTTATACTCTTCCTGCCTCAGCCTCCTAGCGTTCTGAGACTATAGGCATGTGCTACCACGTATGGCTTAGAAACCAATATTAGATGCTGGGATTTCTATAGGAAGAAAACATGAATGGGAAGCAAGGGCAAGAAGTCAGCAGGTTTCCTCTTACTGTTTCACTTAATCACCTACACAAAATACGCCTGCTTCTCGTACACGCAGAGAGCAGTGCTGACAGAGCTACGGGCAGATTAGAATGTGAGACTGTTACTGGGCAATTAGGGAAACTCATTTAACTATTGCAGTGGGTAAAGAGAAAGGTGCTGAATGGGAGGAGAAACAGGCTTCCCCTGCCTGCTGACATTCACCCTTAAGGGCATCTCTTCATATGGCCAGGTCTGACAGTACAAGCACTGAAAGTCTACAGTAACCAATGAAGGAAGGGTGCGGGCCCTTTGCTAGGGAATGTTGGGGGGCCTCACTAGGTAAAGCATTCCAAATGCTGAGCCCCAGGCTGAGAGAAAAAGAGGCGACAAATATCAGCAGTGATCTCATAGCCAGCTAGCTGAACAAGCACTGTAAATGCTACTGCATTTTATTTCTTGCTTATTAAACAGAGATTTGCATGTGGTAACCAGTTCTCCTTCCTCTTTTACCCTATCGGTTTACACGCAGAAGGTAGTGACTGGTCCTGCACAGCTGAGCTTTTAAGCCGCAGAGGGTTGTGTGTGAACTGCGAGTGGAACCGACATCTCCCAGACCTGAGCGCAGTGAGCCGGAGCGTCTTCCGTCTGCACAGCACAGTGGGATCACGTTAGGCGGATGCACAGTGGGCTGTTGTTTGTCATGGTGCTGGTGGAAAGTAGAGGCGTGGGCATGAGGCTAAGACCCTTCTTCCCCTGATGTCCACAGCCTCACAACTACACTTAGTGTGCTCTGCACTGCTCAGCTTGTGAGTCTGCGGACTGTGTTTCCAGCCCTTTCTCTTGTGGGCTTTCTGTTGGGTTTTGCCAGTGGGAGGAACCCTCAAGACAGAAGCCAGGGGAAACAGTGTCGAGCTCACAGCTCCAAGAGCTCAGGCTGATGCTTCCTGTGACTCGGGAGAAGTCGAGCACCGCAGCCCCAAGCATGCAGGCAGCAGCATCTCTCCCTACTCTGCCTCTGCCGAGGAACACTGTTGGAACTTCAGCTCTGGAGGGGGCAGCAGACCGCAATGGCTCAAGCATGACAGCAATTAGTGCAGCTCCCCATCAACCACCTTGACTCTGTGCTGGTGCCAGCCACCCTGCCCTCTTCATTCGCTTTCCCTTTCAGTATCTTGGATCCAACTGTTCACATAAAATGTCCAACTCCAAGGGTACGCATGTAGCTCGGTGTTAGGCACGTGCTTACCCCTGGGTTCAATCCCCAGGACTACAAAAAAAACAAAGCAAAACAAAACAAAACAAAAAATCCAAATGCCAACTCCTTATATAAAACATCCCATTTTAAATACCCAGTTGATTTCTTTTGCACCAATTAGCTCTTGGTCATTGCATCATCCTGGAATTTAAGGTTTTTTTTGGGGAAAGTTAAATGTTTTAATGTGGCTATTGCTTTGACTCATTTTCTTTTTTGAGGATAACTTTTTACATTTTATCTCATTTCTTTGACTTTCAAATGACTGGAGAAATTCTCTATTTTACTATGAAGTACCACTTAAGGCTCTAAAAAGTAACCTGGCTGCCAGCAACTACTCCCCTTTATTTCCAGTGTGAATTCTGCTGATAGCTCCAAGTTTGAACACTCACAGAAAGTGTTTGATTTAATACCATTTAGTACTCAGCACACAAAAGCACAAATGAACTAAAACTATGAAATGAAAGTTACACAGTGAAAAGCCAGCTCATACATAGAACATTGAAAAGAAGAAATAATAGATATCATCACAGTCAGAAGAATGGCAGAACTTATTCTGTGCCCGGAACTCTGTGAGTCATTTAATCTACTCCCCCCAACAAAAATCTTATGTGCAAATAATGTGTTGCAGAAACTGTGAAAAGAATTGTAAGACTCTTGAAGTGCTGTGAACCTGACCTGCTTTTCAATGGAAATAGAAAGTACCCAAATCAATATTTTCCTTTTTTCACATAATTGGGGAACAGAGATTTCCTTTTATGCTAGGATTATGTGCATAATATCTCATTTATCTGATAGATTGGGAAATGAGATATTTTATAGAAGTTCATTTTCATTACAAGGAAATCTCTTCCCTTAAGTATGAACTTTAAAGTCTTAGCCATTTTTGAAGAAAATCATCCTAGTAAGCTCTGCACACCTGTCTTCTCACACAGAAGGTAATGACTGTAATTGAACCGTTTGGTGAAGGCTCTGTTCTCTGACCCAGTCTCATTTGGGGATTGAGGAGATACAGGGTACCCAACCTGCACTTGTCCTGGACATCACTCATGGCTCCCACCTTAGCAGTTCTGTGTTTACTTTTCCAGCGCCCCATCCGCCCTCAGTGACAGTCTCTGCAAAGTTCCTTTTTTATACCTGACTCTAGCAAGCAAACCCTTAGCAATCTATGCCGAGAAGCCAGGTAACCGTGACACCTGGGACAAGGGCTGTGGGAAGAGCAGACAGTTATGTGAGAAGGGCTTCGGGTAAGATGAGTACATGTAAATGTGCTGAGAGTCAAATGACACGAGAAGTTTGACAGTTAATTCAAGTGTTGAGACACTTTTAGTATTCAAGATACATCTGAATTGAGAGGTGGGTGAGACTAAAGTCCAACTTTAGGACACACACACACACTCTCTCTCTCTCACACACACACACATACACACACACACAAACACACATGAGCTACCCTGTGTGCTATAGCAAAGAATATCCATAGTGTATGTAGGACAAAGGATGAACCATAGGACCAAATTGTAGAACCAATGTAATGTACACTGGATGAACAAGTCTTCCTTTTGACACTCTTGACATTTCCCTGTAGCCTGTCCACACCCACACTCCATCCCTGAGTGCTGCACACTGCACATTTCA